TTTTCTTTATCTACAACATCTTTCCTCTTACAAGAAAAGAAATAGAAAAAATTCAGTAATTTTTGTCCTTGTAAAATGTCATACATGTTCCAGTGAGTGCTAGAAGAATCATAGTTATCACTAAGAAAAATAAATCTGTAAAAGCTTTCTTTGGGTTTTTTTTTTTTTCTTCCTTAAAGGTGTTGTTTTAAAGTTAGCAATGTGTTGAAAAAACTGAAAGGAGAATGTTTTTGAAACGTTGACACCATCTGTTTAATAAAAGAAGTAGGAAAAAAATTGTCTCTAGTTAGCATAAACATGGCTTAACTCAGCAGACCAGTAAGTAAATCAGAAAGCCTTCATATTTTAATCAAATACAAATTGAATTATCTTGGTTTTGCCAGAGTGAAATAAACTGCCATGAAAATGTGTAACTACATTTGATAACTTACTTATGTGCATATTTAATTATTTCTCAACACCTCATAGGTACTCAGAAAATACTTAATCACAAGCCACATTCAGTTCCCAAAACTCTGTGGTGAAAGCCAAGTAAACACATTACAAACTGGGCATCTGCTTAGCGAGACCAACACATGGCATTTATACATTTTGCCAGCTCTGTTACTAATGCATCCAAGCAGATGCCAAAGGAAATAATCCAAAGACGCTTCAGACAGCGTAATGAATTGGCCTTATTCAGAAGCAAAGCATTAAATTCACCTCATGGATGACACCAACATAAAAACACAGTGCTAAGCTTTACAATGCATAGGAGAGGTAAAAAGAAATGTTGAGGCAATAATGCAGATGCTCGCAACTAGGAATAGAAGCCTCTTACCCACTCTGTCAGCTGTTATCAACTTCTCTTGCCCTAGTGCAATAATCTACACTTTCAGTGACAAAACAGCTGGGTACCACCAGCGTTCTCTCGGCAATCTGAATGCCAAACTCATTGGTGTTTCCTGTAAGGGCTGTTTTGATCTTCCAGGTAATTTTGGTTTTGTTGTGGTAATAACCAAAATTTAACCACTGATCAAGCAGATCTTCCTCAAACACATCGTGTCAGGTAAGATTTGGTATAGGTAACAAAGACCTAGAATACCTGCAAAACAGGAAAACCTGCATGGCACAGTACGCAGCACGCCCTAGTAGTACAACACAGACACATCCTTGTTGATCTGTAGTCCTCCAGGTCCAAAATCAGATTGCAATAAGCCTTGCGTGACTCACCATGCTGGAGATGGCAGTTCAGTGTATGTCACACAAAACTGGTCTACATTCACCAGGCCCTACACTTAATTGATCTTAATTGATGTGTTTAAGCAAAGGCAGTGGCTGTACAGGGCCAGTAGCATCACCATTCTCAGAATGCCAAAATCTTTGTTCAAGCTCAGCATTGTGAGAATATTTCTGGACCTCAGCCCTGAAAGCAGCTTATGTGACACTGCACCTAAGCTAATCAACCATACCAGCTAATAAATTAGCTAATATGTCTTGCCAGATCAAGACTGCATATCTGCAGTCTGACTTACCCACCAAACTAACCAGATAACGCACCAGATAAAGGGAGGAGGGGAAAAAAGTTATTAGACTGTAGTTTTATTTTAATCTTTCAGATTTCATGCCTGATCAGCTTAGACATGGCTAATAGCTCCTGCAGCCTTTTGTTCCTAGTCTTAAGGATATCAAGACAGTCCTCCTAACATAAAGCAACTAAATGGAATTCATCTACTGCAGCGTTGAACACATTTCACAAATTCATGCAATTATGAATAAGGCACAGCATTTTTCTTGAACAATAGATGCGGAAAGTCCATATCCGTATGCTCAGAACTGTAAGGGGTGACATCACCTGCACTTAGAAGGTAGTAATTCCTGATGAAACTGCCCCAGTGTGAAACTCTGCTGACTATGCTGACCCAATGGTATGATTCTATCTGCTTCAAGCCAGTAACTGAATGCTTATCAAAGCAAACAAAAAACAACTTTCATTCTAAGTCATAGTCATTTGGCCTGACCTACAGAAATAAAGGGCTAATAAAAAAGCCTATCCATCAAAAGGCCACTAAAGTCCATCTGGAGGCGACAGCCTCTTTTCAGAAAGAGCAGGGTTCAACATTACTGCCAGTCAGGCATGTTCAAGTAGGTGGGAGAAGCCTCAGAGATCAGTTTTATTAACGTGTGAACAAAGATTAGCCTCCACATCATCCCACTGCATTCCCACAGTCCAGACAGCCTCTCTTTTTTTTTTTTAATTACTATTATTTTTATTTTGGACAGATTTTCCATCTGAAATAACCCTACTGAAATTGTCAGAAATTCTACAGGTTAATAATGTGACATGGAAGGAAAAAGGTAGAAAAAAGGGAGAAAACATCTGAAATCACTACTATTTGACAGCTGGATGTCACTGAATGTTGTGCAAAAGCATAACTTCAAGCATCTCTTTCCATTTAATTTAATTTTTTTTTTTTTTTTTTTTTTTTAAATAAGTCACACACAGAATCACACAGAATCACAAGGTTGGAAACGACCTGCAAGATCATCCAGTCCAACCACCCTCCCATTCCTATCAGTACCACAAGCTACTAAACCATCTCTCATAGCTCCTCATCCAGGCGCCTCTTGAACACTACCAGGGACGGCGACTCCACCACCTCCCTGGGCAGCCATTCCAGTGCCTGACCACCCTTTGAGAGAAAAAGTTTCTCCTAATGTCCAACCTAAACCTCCTCTGGTATTACTTCTGACCGTTTCCTCGGGTCCTACTATTTGCCTGGGAAAAGAGGCCAGACCCTTTTGCACCACAACCTCCCTTCAGGAAGCTGTGAAGTGCAATGAGGTCTCCCCTGAGCCTCCTCTTCTCCAGACTGAACAATCCCAGCTCCCTCAGCCGCTCCTCATAAGACTTGTGCTCCAGACCCTTCACCAGTTTCGTTGCCCTTCTCTGGACACGCTCCAGGGCCTCAATGTCTTTCTTGTAGTGAGGGGCCCAAAACTGAACACAGTACTCGAGGTGCGGCCTCGAGTGCCAGATAATAAAATAAAACAAGTCTAAACAAATAAATACCATGTTTTAATTCTAAAGGAGCCTCTATGGAAAAACAGAAATAGAGGCATTTTATTGCAGTGCTTCTTTCAATGATTCCATAATACCCTTGCAAGAGGAGTATTCTTTATCTTTAAAATAGATGCAAAAGATCTGAAAAAAAATACAACAGGCGTTCAAACCTGGCTTCTGACTCCTGGTCTTTTACGCAGATGCTCCAGCACAGAACCACAGTCAGTTACGTACATTCAACCAACCAAGCTCAGTACAGCTCTTGAGAGAACCTCAAAGGCAGGAATGCAGGATGCATAACGCTGCAGTCCTGATTGATAACTAAGAAGTTAGTTATAAATAAATCTGGAACAGTTGGGATTGACTGTTGTTTAGCACTTTCAGACAGACATTCAGGGCAACTGGCAGGGGCTTTGAAAGCCGTTTCCTATATTAGAATCATGACAAAAATAGAAGCGAGCCTGCATTCCCTTGTCTTCTGCTAAAATAGATCTTACTCGAAAACATTTTCACAGGTTTGTTGAGGCATAACTAGTCCAGTGTCACATACAGAACAAACTCAACAATAATTGGAAGTCCCATGTTGATCTGCCTTAAATAGTTACTGAATTAATGAGAATGAAAACTGTGAGAGCGGAGAGGACCAAGAGATATTAGGGACAAGGAGAAACTTGCTTTATATTATTACTGTTCTTTAAACTTTTCAGTGATAGTGAAAAAAAAAAAAAAAAAAAAAAAGCATATTTTACTAACTGTTCTTAAGAACATGTGCTTTATTCATGTATTTATTAATTCAGAAAGAGATGTTGCATAAAAACTCCTGACAGCAAGGCTGAGTTGTGAGAATGGGACAGGAAAGACACAGCATGTATGTTGTGTTGTTCTGTTTTAAAGCAAGTGCCCCAAATGCTGTTTACAGAACAAGCCTTTGTACGGAGCTATCTTGCCTCCAGCACTCAAGATTCCACAGAAGCTGTTCATTACTTATCTGTTACAGTCAAAACCATATCTATGGAAATGTTGCAGGATTAGCTAGTTCAGTGACCAAGTAGCCCGCTCTTCTGCCAAGATAATCAGTGGCCTTAATGAGCCATTAAGAACTTCGAGATCCAGTGAGAGTAGAAAATCTTAACGTATAGATCAGAAATTTTGTGCCTAATTTTATGCTGCAGTTTTAGATCATGCATGAACTCCCAAACTATACGCAAGAGGCAAGTGTGACTGAGCATAGACTGTATGGTATAAAAATAAAATCACAGCAGAAGATACAGTACAGAGCAATCGAGTTTAACCAAGCAACTCTCCCAGCTAGTTTTTCCATAAACCCTAAATAAGTTGGCATAGCATTTTGCTGATGGGTGTGAAAAAGCCCCACCTGCTTAACTCTAAGCCACTCTGAAACGAATCAGTTCCGGCCTAGCAGCTCTGTGATCACGGTGCCTGACACCTGCCCAAGCTGAAGACTCCATCTCTTAGCAGAATTCATTGCTGTAGCTCAGCAGCAGCAGACCCTGCTGCAAACCTTTTGGTTCTGGGCAGGATCACAGCTTCCTGGGTCAGCACACACGCAAAGTAGGCTCATGCATCTTGGCAAAATACTGTGCATACAGTTCACCAATGACTTCTGGCCATGACAAATCATATTCTATTATTCTTATGGTTTCAACAATAAACAAACCACAACAGAATTAGGAAATTTCAAAAACTTTCCTTCTAAACTAAGCCTAGTATAAGTTAAACACTGAATTAAGGACTCCGTGCTTGCTGAAATACAAGGCTACGTTTCATTCACTGAATAGCTCTTTTTTTCCATCATGGTAACTGCTGAAAATACACTTGTTGAAAGAGCAAATTCATCACTGATAATCAAATCCTTTCTTTTTAATAGATTGCCATATTGTAGACATAATTTCCTTTTACCAGAACAGCCTGCATAAAAATATTTTAAGCTAATTACCTTTAGGTGGAAAATATGACTTGCTTTCAGCTTTGTGAGGCCAGTCCACCACAAGAGGTCCAAATCTACGAAAGCTGGCAGTGATCTCATCTACAAAAAACAAATGAGGCACCTTAGAGAAAGACTGAAGAATGACAGTGGCAAGGTAAGCATTTCTATTTTAAAAGTCCATTTTCTGTTCCTATCAAGAACAACAAAAACTGCAATACTGTACATTGATAATGCCTAAATGTTCTTTTAGTTCTGCAATATACATGGCTGCTTAAAAAAGGAACTTTGCATTCCACTAACACAAGTCTGCATTTAATCCTGCTGCAAACATGATCTATCAAAAGTGAATATGCTTCAGCTGTGGTCTACATCTAATTATAGCCACAATGCAGGGTCAGATGCTGCCACATGGGGACTGATGGAGAAGCTAAGTGTCTGCATGGCCACTCCTTGCAGCACGATCCAGAAAGCAGGCTGCATCAGGCCATGTGTCTGTGGGGACTTCACCTCCACAGTCTCCTTGGAAAATCTGCCCTGAATCACCACGTTTGTTTTTGTTGTTGTTGTTGTTTTAAAGTATCAGTTTAAAAACACCAGAAAGCAAACATCCGAAACCATCCCTGAAACTATCCTATAAAACAATTTTTATTTTAAGAAAATTCTTTTTTTCCCTCAAATTCGTTCAAGTTTTTAAAATACATATAACTTTTCAATGCATTTATGCATTTTAAAGGAAGTAGTAATTTAGAGTTATAGCTAATGCAATGCTAAATAGATCAGAGCAACAGCTCATCAGAAAGAAAGGTTGGAAAAAAAAAGAAAAAAAGCAGTGGTTTTCCAAATTCTTGGTTGCTACTTGAGATGCATCCAGATCACCTGATCCCCATGAGCTGCGTGTTAAATTTTTCAAGCAACAAGAGACACAAAACACAGAACACACAAATCAGAAGCTTAAGGAAGATGATGTTACTAGAGTCAATCTCTCATGTATGAGGGAAATAGCTCCCAAGCAGCCATGTTTCTTATTTCCTCTCAGGACAGGCTGGGCATGTATTTCAAATCTGAAGTGTCCCAGCAGTGGTCACATCAGTTGTACCTGCTGGCCTGCTGCTGCTTGTATTTGGAGAATCAGATGACCCAGCTGTCCCCGCACCAACAACTCTGCAACTGGTGATGTGATGTGGGAACTGTATTTGTAGCTGTTTGTGAACCATTCATTGGCAATCCAGCTTATTTTTATTTCTTTTAACTGAAATTGCACCATAGTTTATTCTTCAGATTTAGTAGTGATGAGATTCAAAGATTCCTCCCTTTAAGGCATCCTTGAATGTCCTGTATATGCCAACTGAAGCTACGTAGTGATGGATTCCTGCTACAATATGAAAAATACACCCCAAACTGTAATGTTTTGGTTTCAGTCCAAATGTGCGTGTGTACATTCATGCAGAGTTAATATGGACTGAGAAAAAAACCTGACCATCCCTACTAAATGCTGGTTACTGTTGCAACCATATTAAATGCTCTACTTCTGTGAATTGAACACTACATATATGCTGCATAGGAAACCAATTTATTTTGATAAGTACTGCATTAACAAAGTCCATAAGTCAACAACTTCTATTAACAAAGGAAATCCTACAGAGGATTGACAGTACCCACTGTTTTTCCTTTTTCCAGCTCTCCTATTTTACATGTGTGAGAACACATGCTACTAGTGCAGATTAAAAGACCTGCTATGCAGGCATTTCTGTCTTCATCTCCTCTAATCTGCAGTACAGAAGAATATCATGGGAATTCTCAGGTGTTGTGGGACAAAGTGAGGAGGATGTTTTAAATAACGCCACAAGCGCTACAAGCGATACACCTGGAAAAATACATTTGTTTCTATGACAAAATGTCGTTTCCTAAGTAACTATATGAAAGCCAATTCCCATATCTCACCAATGTAACTTATTCACAGTACCTTCATCAATGTCAGGAGGAAGACCTCCAACAAACACCTTTCTAGAATAGCGTTCCACTCTTTCACCATTCTGACAGCGTGTTGGAGAGCTGAGACCCGATGATAAAGACTGATCACCGTGGCTGTCGTCTAGGAAGCCATCTTCAAAAGGAAAGAGTGAAGACCGACCTGTAACAGATTTTGTAGTATCTGTAGTTAAAGCTATTTCCTGGACAATTAAATATTTCAGTCAAAACTTACAATTTCCTTTTCTAAAACACTGTTTTGCTTCTAAGAGAATTTCTAATGAGAAGTCTAGCCAAGCAATCAGTTATTCAGATGGTATTCATTGGTATCACTCCTATTTTTTCAAATCTGTAACTATGTTATTCTTAGAAGACAATAAACCTAATTTAGTTTAAAGCAGAAACTCTTGGGAATGAAAATGGAAGCCAACAAGTTGTCCGCAGAAACTGTCATAGCTGCAGAAAGCACCTTTGAACACTTCAAGCCAATCCTTTTTGATTTAAGAACTTCCATAGCAGATCTCAAAGAAACGAGTTAAAAATGCAGATCACTTAAGCCATGGCATTGCGGGGCAGGATGGCCTCCTTCAGAATGCTTGACAGTACCCTAACCTCAAGAGCTGCATTGCTTCCTCCTTGAGTGAGTGGAGGCAAATTTCTGAGCAGGGGGCAAACAGCAAAATAAACACAGAAAAGCTCTGAGTAGTGGATGTTAAGCGTGTAGGTGAAGCAAACAGCTTAGCTAACAAGATAAAAATCTTTAAAAGACTTATTAAATAAAACACAAATACTTGCACTAAAAAAAAAATTGTTAGCTACGTCAGTGTCAAATTGTTACTCAGTATTAAAATACACTTTCAGTAAATGAATGAACAGAAAGCAACACAAATGACTTCTATTCAGTTATTTGATGAAAAGTGAATTATTGTGATCACCTGATTCAAATAACTTGTTGCTACTATTACCAAAGTATACGCACCTTATCTTAAGAACAGATATATTAACCCAGAAAATAGAAGATATTCAAAATAGCTTTAGAATTTAATTTCCTATACTTGAGTTGAAAAATAAATCCTGTAAAGTGAAAAGATGTATAAATGGGAACCTCATCTCAACTCTGAAGAAACTACTTGTCCCCTCATATCATGCAGGATTGCTCCCAGGGACAGAATTAAAATTAATTGATACAAACAGTTTCTAAAGGGGTTAACTATAAATATAAATAGCAGGAAAAATAAATTACATGGTAATTGATCACATGAAATTGACTTCTAGGAAGACCCAAAGAAGAGGAAGCTACAGCACACAGAAGTAAAGGGAGGAAAACCAGGGGCAAGGTGGAAAACAAAGACACACAGACTGACACTAGTCAGAAAAAAATGTATATACTGAAATGATCAGTAATAGAGCCTTGAACAGTAAAGGCTACATTACAAAAAGAAGCAGCAAACCTACATATAAGGAACAAGATAAACAACCAACAGAAAAGACGTTCTGACTGACACAAAGCATGAGCTTCAATTTTTATGTAGGAAGAACACACTGAAGGCAGAACATTGGCAAAGAACACAAATGCAAAAATCCACAGAGGTAAAAATCCTACTGTGCTTTTAAGCACCAATATAGAAACAGGGCAAATGTCACAAACAGAGAAGGATTTAGAGATGCTACTCTTAAAGTCTAGCACAGCTGGCTGTCAGAAATGGCAGCTTTAGAGCATAAGCCAGAAAGGACTTGATAAATATTCTGGTAATGCATGGAGAGGTTATACACATATATGAATGTATGCATTTTAGCAGAAGAGAGAGCACATGAATGAGAGTAATAACAGGTAGAAGTAAACATGTAAGAATATCAAATTATTTACAGACTAAATAATATTTTATTTCCCCCCACAAACATGCTTTCTTAAAAAAGATGGAAGTTCACACATCAAATGAATCAATATTTAGCTGTTCAACTGAAATGCAGGTCCATTGAGGAGGCTGAATGAGAGCTGATTTCTGATGGAAATCGAACAAAATGCATAGTGGCTTAAAAGGCAAGATGCCTCCTCTGATGGTCAGATGCTTGACAGTTCACAGGCACTATACTCAGATTAAGTGAATTCAAGAGATGATGACCTAAAGCTTTATAGTGAAGCATACAGTTAAGAGTATAAAGCAAGTATTTAATAGAACAAAAGGCACAGAGAAAATGGAGTAGGGAACAATTGCTCAAGTACATTAAATACATAAATCCAAAGAAAGCCAAACTATGGAACCCATTACCGCAGGCTTTTTAGGATGCTAAAAAGTTCCCATCATTTCTGAAAGAGAGAATGAGCAAGAACAGTGGAAAAACCCATCTTGGAGCATTAGCTATTGAAACCTCACATCAGAAAACACCCAGGGCAAGCCTCTATAGAGTATCATGGAAAAGCATTAGTAAGTGCCCTGTTTTTATATGCCTGCAGCCCTTCCCTGGCACCTCTGAGTTGTCAAGGCAAGAGGAAAGACTTTCAATAGCTACTCTTACACCCATATCTGAAAAAGTAAAATAAAATTTGAAAACCAGATACAGATCTTGTTTTCAGGATACGCAACTCAGCAACCTGAAGTGTGATTTCTACAAAAAAAAAAAAAAAGCTCAGCTTAATTCACAAAGGAAACAAAGGATCAAGTAGAAAGCTGATAGGTTGCACCAACCCCCAAAATATTTCTGACGACACTCTTCCCACTGAAGATGCTTAGTCACAGTGACAGAGTGAAAGACTAATTAAAAGACTCCAGTATAATAAACATGAAATGAGTCCCTGCACAGACTTGCCTCTGAGTTCTCTGCATATTATTACTGCAATGCAAGTGGTAAAAGCAATGAATATGAGAACGTTTGATAAACAACACATCTTTTTTAAGCAGACAACTTAAGAAATGTGTGGTTCTTCAGGTTAAGAAAGCTCAAAACAACATTATGCAATTCAATATACTGAAAAAGCAGGGATATCAGAGAGGTTAATATTGTATGAGTAGGGCACGTCACAAAATCCCTAACACCGATGACAAGAGACGCACACACACACACACACACACACACCCCCCTACTAGTTACCATAGAAAAGACAAATTCACATAGGCAACAATTACTATGGAGGGAAGCATGCATTTTAGCCGAGTAAAACAATCCTGAAAGTCCAGCACATCCAGAACCTGTTTGCCTTGTTTTGTCATCACCACAATTTCTACAAAGAAGCCTACACTGAATTTTACAGCCTATCTTGCACACACCACGATTACTATTGCCACATCACTTACATTTTGCTTCTACAAGTCAGCACAAGTTACTGGAAGTTAACAGTGCCCAGATGGTTTCCACCTCCCTTCCTACTTTGCTGCCATTTAATCAATCTGGAGACACTTGGCACCATCCTATGCTCACATGCATACAGAGCTTATGATATTTAATGTTTCAAGTACCATGAGAGCACCAAAGAAAAATATTAACGTGCTTTAGACACCAGATAACAATACTGTTCTCTGGAAGTAGGGAAAAATAGCAAGGTAAGTTTGTGGATAAAATCTAAGTTTTAAAAATACAAATCTCTGTTTACCTTTATCTATAAATTAAAAGCTAAACACCATCAGCTTCGAATCAAATCAGCTCCAATTTTATGTTAGAACCAGCACCAGTCCAGCCTACTATTTTAACCACACAAGTGCAAACTACTAGTTACTTAGAGGCTATTGGGTAACTCATATGACTAGGTTTGTCCCCAAATTCTACACTGTGAAAAGGAGGCCTTCCAAGCAACGTCACGTGCATGGGTGCCACAGAACATATATATATAAAAAAAGAGAGATCAAATGAAATGTAATGCCAAAGTACCCCAAACAGATGGCACTGTCCAATTCTAGCTGTAAAATGCCACAATCTTCACCATTATTTTCTCAGTTAATAAGTCAGTGTCAGCTACAGCACAGTACATCAGAAAAATCTTTTTTGGTAACCAGCATGTTTGCTCCTGTCCACAGTCATTAATCTCTCAGAATAAACATAAACACAGCTCTGTACAACATCTGTATAATGCTTTTCTAAGAGTTGCTTAAATGATGAAATACAGTTAAAACATCCTCAAATGTTTTTTTTTTGTTTGTTTGTTTGTTTTAAATTTATTTCCTCTCTTGATTATCAGTATTCACCACTGAGGACAGTTATTAGTATTGGTATTCACAATGTTCTACCTAGGGTAAACTGATGCAGTCCCCAAGTGCAATCTTCAACAAAAGAAGTTTCATCCAAGAAAAAAAACGTATGCTTGAGGTAATTCAATAAGTTTGCTAAACATTAAAAGTCTACAAAAAACATCTGAAAACAATCTTCATTTCTGGAACACCACACATTTAAAATCACAAATATGTGTCATGAAAAAGAATCTTAACATTTACCCATTCTCCAGTAGTAACAGCAACATACTGAGTTACCTGCTCAAGTCATCGCTGCTTTAAGTTGTTATAAAAAGGGAGATGTTTTCAAAATGAAGAATATAAAATTGATTTATAAGAAGCAACTGATCAACCAAATACTGTTAAAATTGGTAACATTATCATAAGAGAACTAAATATTTACATCTCCCACTATTTAGCAAACAAAACATTTAGTAAATACTTTTACCTCTTCTCCGCCCATAGCTCCTGGCTGCATGTAAACACAGAAGAAAATTGTCGGTACAGCTGTCATTAGATTTAGCTCCAAAAGCAAAGAAAATGTAGCTTCTAAATCTTCTCTTCCCCTCCCACCACAAAGAAGGAAAAGGCATTGAAAAGTGTGCAAAATGAAATTCAAACAACCCAAGACAAGAGAAAAAGTTTGAAGATGACACAGCCAGGGAAAAAAAAAGAAAAACAAAAAACCGCATACCTGCTGTGCAAGTTTTCTACACATCAAGATTAATTAAAAAAAATCAGACACATAAGACTTACAGTACTACAGATGATTAATTTAGGATTATGTTTTTAAGAAGTAATAAACATTATCAACAGTAATCCTAATTAAAATAATTCATTTTGCATTTCATTAATTAGCTTGTGGACAATGTTTTCCAATTATGTTTCAAGTTAAATAATTAGCCATCTGCAAGTACTAAAATCCTACTACCAAAATCATATGAACTCAATAGCCAGAATG